TTGGGTTGGTCTTTTGTTCTTTTTTATAGAGCATATGAAACTTCTAAAATGTATCGTGATTTTAAATTGAGAAGTGCACTAATTCAAAACAAGCAATTAAGATTATTACCACAAGAACATGTATATGATAAAATCAATGGAGTATGGAATTTATCCAGTGATCAGGTATTGTACAAAGAACTAGTGAACCTTTTAGGACAGAGTTTTGGTAATCATTTTTCCATTCATCATTGGATTTGTGTATTCATTCAACTCTGATTGTTAAAATTAGCATTATAGCTCTTGATCTGAGTTAATATTCTGATTTTTATATTTTTATGGTTTTGTGCCTTTTTCAGCACCTTTCGTTAGGTATAGAATTTAGGGCTAAACCTTAGATATCATCTAATTCACTCTTCCTTCACTTATAGATGAGAAACTAAAGCCCCAGATAGTGAAAGTGACCTCACATATCTAGTGCATCCAAGAGCCATGCTCTTCCCCTTGTATTATGCTGCTCTCTACCACTTGATAAAACTTAAGCCGATGGAGGAGAACCATGATGTGGATAGTAACAGAAGCCTTTTAATCCGGTCTTTAGGGAACTAAACATATAACTCATTTGGTGACTCAAATCCATTATTATAACTTTTCATTCACTCCTGAAATTATGATTAGTTGAAACCTGTAAGCAATTAACAGAATAAGAAACATATCAATTTCTAGAGAAAAATTTATCCTTACTGTGTGTTACAACCTAGGTTAGACTGATAACCGCTGTGGTAAAACTATATCATTTGAACAAAGAGCTTCTTGGTAGGTATTGAATCATAAACATAAATTGTAAATGAACTTTGTTCATTTGAAAAGTTCTAGTTTTAAACTATGATAAAAGTTCTGTAAGATTTAGACAGCTCCCCACCTGAATAACTCTCTCTCATCCTTTAGGTTAGTGATTAGCAAACTTTTTCTATATAAAGGGCCAGATAGTAAATACTTTAGGCTTTTGCAGGCCATGCAGTTTCCCTGGCAGCTACTTAGTCTGGCCATTGTAGTGTGAAACCAGCCATAGACAATATTTAAACAAGTGAGCATGAATGTGTTTCAATAAAAGTTTGTTTATGGACACTGAAATTTGAATTTCACACAATATTTGTGTGTCTTGAAATATTATTCTTTTGACTTTTTTCCAACCATTTAAAAATGTAAAAATTATTCTTTGCTTATGGGCCATATAAAAAGTGGTAACAGGCCAAATTTAGCCCATGAGCTGTAGTTTACAGACCGTTGCTTTAGATTATAGCTTAGATGTCCCTTTTTTTTTTTTGTATAATGATTTACATTTATTCATTATACATGAC